CCGATAATGCTCTTCGCGCATTTCCGTTTCATTTTTTCTCGCATGTTCCCCGGCAGTGTAGGCGCGCGGCGTACGCTCGCCTGACTGCTGTCATAACTCGCGACGTGGGGCGTCCTGGCGAAGCCTGTCGGAGAAGTGTAAATAAATATCCCCCTTCCTTCCCCTCCCCCTCCCTCAACCACCACCGCCTTACCCCTAAACGCCCCACGCACCCCGCCTCGCCGAGGTGTAATACCATATAAACCCCCGACCACGAGTCGAATCGATTTATTAGACCTTCCCTGCGTGCAATATTTTTCATCGCCCTCGCCCCTCTCTTGCCATTCAGCGGCATAAGCTGACAGCCCACGCACTGTGCGGGGCCGTGCTTAAAAAGCTTAAATCCCTCCCCTCTCGAATGCATCCCCCCCCTCCCTTCTCTACCGTAACGATGACACGCCCGCCGATACCACCTCAATTTCCCACCTGTTAATCGGGCTGCTCGCTCGGGGGCGATTTGATTGATATCCGCTCGTCCGGCCGGTTGCCGCAAGGATTGAGCGATCAGCGGGAGGGGGCGCTGGGAAGGGGAGGGGGAGGAGGGCGCCTCGGAAGTCCGAGGCCGTGAATCACTTTGAAGCGGGGAATGCACGCCCCCGGATGGAAACGGCAGAGGTGGGCGGCAGGGGGTCAGAGGGAGGAGGGACAGGGGTTAAAAAGAGAAGAGCCAAACGCAGCACACTTTGTTTCGGTCGGAAAACCCCGATACATACCACCCTCCCCCTTCCCTTCCCTCTCCGCAAGCTAGCGTACCCTATTTTATGAACAGAAAGACGTCCGGTGCCGCTGCTGCCATGCCATGATTCAATAAACCTAAATTTGTTCAATCAGAAGCGTGCTTGTTCTCCCCTTCTCCCTCCCTGCTCGACGCAAATATCTCGTTGGAATCACATATGTTGGAAGTCACGCCACAACAACATCTACGAGAACAAAACAAACCAAAAAAAATCGCATAAACCTGGGTTTAGTGTGCACCGTTACCGTTCGCTGCGGTGCGGTGCCTCGCGCCTCGCCTTGGCGGGCCCCGCAACAGGAGAGGGGGGGATGGTGGGAGGGTGCCAAGGGGCAAGGGGTGGGCAGGGGCGTGCACACTGCGGAGCCCGCCGTGTCATAAGTGGCGGTGGGGGCGCGGAGGGGGGCTCCTTGACTACAGCTCAGGGTGGCGAGCGGGGCAGGGGGTGGTGGCGTGGCCACTGGCCGGCGGGCTGCCCGGTGCCCAGCCCCGGCCCCGGCCCATTGTGACTGGAGTCGCTTTGGACTGGGGCCGAGCCGAGTCTGCTGGACACAGCAGCAGGGCGCACGGCGAGGCGCAGCGCGCAGCCCAGACCCGCCGCGCGGACTGCGGCCCAGGGCAGCCCAGGCTCAGCCCGGGGGCGCTATGAACGAGCAGCGACCTCGCGCGCCAGCACCGCCGCCCCGGGACACTGCCCTCCTGCCCGCCCTGACCAGGGCCCCGCCTTCCTCGGCCTCCTCGCCGCGGTGCGGCCCGCGCCACGGGCGCCAGCACAGCGTGCGCCAGCACAGCGTGCCCCAGCACAGCCCCAGCTAGCGCGGCTCGCCGGCCACCGCCACCGCACCTCTGCAGGTGGGTTCTCCTTGCACCATACCAGGTCCACCAGGTCACTGTGAAACCGCAAACCTCCGTCGCCAAAGGAGATGCGCCGTAACCTACCACGTGGAGGCCTGCGTGTGCGTTTGCCTACCGTCTCTGGCCTAACGCCCCAAGCGGCCCCGAGCATGTAGTCTGCTCTCTGGGACCCCTGAGTTATACCGTATCGTGTGCCAGGGCTACGACACAACAGTATGCGGGTTTGCTTAGGGATCAACTAGGAAACACGTACGTCTGTCGTTCGTGGTTCCGAAACGGACAAGTTTAACCGTATGCTTGCTGTCAGGGCGCCTGATGGGTAGGCAACATCTTGCTTACAGTGCATGCGTGTACTGCGGGTCGGCCTAACCAGAGTCTCGCAGGCGCCGAGCCTTCTCTTTTACAACTCTGTTTAAAACGGCCGTACTTTATTGACGATACCCTATGCGATCCACTCTTATGGCGCTATGGCCCCCGGGATAAGGCAACCTCGCAACTCTGCTGTGTTGAAGTCCTGACTCGCTGCCGCTGACCAAGGCGCCTACGGATCTGACCGGACAAAAGTTCTCCTGTAGAATCGATCAAGTCACCTGTCATATCCCAGAGCTCTCACGATCCGATCATCTCGACTAGATCCACGATGAGCCAACCTCCAAACGTCCTTGTTATTCACACACACTGTTGCGAATACCTGTGGTCGGTTGGTACCTCATGAACCTCGTGTGTAAGGGAGGGAAAAGCAAAGAGCGTCCGACGGAGTTTTCCAGCCACATGGGAATCTGTCCCATGCGCTGTAATAGGTGGCTAGGTGGCTTAGGCTGCCGACCGGCCAAATACAATGAACAACAACAGCCATCACATCACAAATGTTTCGGGCCACACTGCGCTTTCTCGTCCCCGCACTTCATGGTTCGGCAGCTGTCACTGTCGCTGTCACTGTCATGGACCTCTCATCAGTAGAGCCCTGCAAATAAAAAGGACTCTTTAGATGGACCGCACAGTGGCATACGTTGGCCGCAAACCGTTGAGAGGTGGGGAGAGAGAGACTGGAAACAGCTCCCCTC